TGCAATAATAGATAATGCTTATAATAGCACAGTCAGTCAACACTGAATTTTAACCATGCACAACAGGTAACATGGTCAATAACAGGAGCGGATTCAGAGATATTTTCTGACAGAATTCCAAAGTATCTATGTTGATCCATCCTTCGTTTTGATGGTCTTCCAACAGAAAGAAAAAATAGATACCCATCAATATAAACTTTCAAATCTGACCATCTTCCGGGAGACCCAAAAGATGGTCTCAATCCACCCTTTCAATAAGATTACAGTTTCAGGACCATGAGAGTTCAAATTCACATGATGAAAGTCCCAATATATGAAAAATGATGACAGTGCATAAAATAATATTACATAATGTTTAAAGACGTAAATACCAATACAACTGCTTATGTGGAAATATAGAGCCTCAAGTGGATGGGAGTTAAAAGTCACATCTTAAAAATGCTAGTGTTTGAGAAAAAATTAAAAAGAAAACATAACAGAAATATAATTCCAATGAAGTTGCTATTCAAACTTTTAATCTTTAAGTTTGATATATAAATTTGTCTATCAAAGGTCTTCAGGCCCATAAGTCACACCTTAAGAAAAGCAGAAAATAATAATGCCAATTTTGATGCAATAATACATATGTTTAACTGCATAGTCAACATCAAATTTTAATTATGCACAACAGGTAACACCGATGAAAGTAAGAGCATAAGGCTTCAGGCCCATCAGAGTTCAAGTTTACACTTAGAAAGTGCCGGAAAGAGAAATATCTAAATGTCACAAAAAATGCATAAATTTAATAACAATGATAATCCAATAGAGCTGGTTATCTAATATGTGCTGTATGTAAATCCTAAGGATCATTTTTGTAAGACTAGTTAAATAACACAGTTTTATTTCCATAACGTTAATGGTGACAGAGCACAAAGTAGATTTTTTGTCAATTTTGATGCAACATTACATAATAAAAATACCACCAATTTTTAAATACCTACTATTAAAAACATGGACATTAAGAAAATTTGATTACCACTGGGCTTCATGCCCAAGGGAGCTCCAAGTCCTACAATGAAAATTCCAATATGTGAAAGATAAAAATTTTTACAAAAATACCTCTATAACTTCCAGAAAATTAACTAATGAGACAGATTTTCCAACTGAAGCTGTATTTCAGTCCTATGTTTCTTTCCTGTAAGTGTGAGAAGAGCAAGTGACATGGTTTTCCTTTCACGGTCACTATGGAGGCAGTGCCCAAAATAAGGTTTGTTCAATTTTGATGCAATATAACACAATGCTTAACAGCATAATAACCATAATTTTTTTAGTAATAGAATAAAAGTATCATGGATATTCAAAAAAGGTGACTAGCCCATAGAGTTCTGAGTCACACTTTGAAAATCCCCAAGTGTAAACAAGAAATAACTGTATTGAAGAGTTTATTTCCATTTTCAACACCTTTTTTTAGATAAAACAAAATCAATTTTCTGTCATTTTTATATGATCAATTAAAAAAATGTTGTCAATAGAAAAAATATCAATGGAACAATTTTAAATGTCCAACTTGCTCCATTTGAGATTCTTAACTTAGTGAATGAATGAATCTGACGAACTGCAATGATGAGTTAATTTCCATTTTTGATACTTTATTTAATATTACACAATGCACGATAACAGGTTTACTGTCATTTTTATATAATTAACTAACAATATTG